TTACCCAATTTTCTCCCCAATTTATGACCAATTCCACCACTAGCTGTATGTCCCTTCACCTCATACATGATGCTACCAAGCTGGGGGGTCAGAGCTAGCTCATGCTTCATCTCAGATGCATGAAGCACCACCACAACTGCTGATAACGCATCGTCATTCAACAGCTCAACATGCCTGGAGGGAAATACTAAGTGCTAAGGGGATTCTACCCACCTAAAGAGAATGAGTTATGCTGTCTTAAACTCTCAGCCATTGCCTGGGGTATCACTGGAGATCGTGTTCCCTCGACAATAGGGCAAACACACAGAGGATAATTTTTAGCCAATAGTTCTATAGTGTTGTGAACTGTATTTAAACTTACTATCTACTACAGTGGTTTGATCTTGGGATAGAGCAACTACTGCACTGTACTAATGGTAAATGTTCTGTCATGATGATAACGAGGGCTTTTTTCCAGATACTAACAGAAATAGCAATAAACAGGTTTTATACTGTGCTGTCACATTTTAAATCAACTCTTTAAAGCTACACTATGTACGTTTTGGGGATTTGGAGACCTCTGTGGTGGAAATGTGCAGTTGTGCACAATGTACGGAGGAACATTTTGTAATGGTTGTGTTCTGGACCCCTTTCCCAAGCGGATGAATCTGATGATTGTGAGCATGTTGAAAGAGTATTCAAAGAGAAATTAGTGTCTCCCGAGTACAATGCTGGGCTTAAGGAATGCTTGTGGAGTCTGAAGCAGTGTGGATTGGACGGATAGTTGCTTGCATCACGTCTGCAGTGACCTATCCAGGTTCTACACACAAATGCATTCTTCTCATTGCAACTCTTGCGATACAAGGCTTACAGAATGTGGGCAAAAAATCCCATTCAATCCTATGAATTTAGGTCGGTGTTTAGATTCGCAACATAACGTTGAGTTTCCAGTGTAAAATGCTACGATACCGAGCTGGACTATGACGTTGTAGCTAATTGAATGTAGCTACAACAAAAAGTTTTGCATTACAAGTTCTCATTAAGTTGAATGGGATATTTGCCTAAGTTCTGTAAAGCTTGTAACAGCTAAGAATTTGTGGGAGGAGCATGGACAGATCAGCTCCAAGTAAGAGTCCTATAAAACCACCACTGCGTCTTTTCAAACCACTGCACATGCAAAATCTTAAGGCAGTTCAACACATTTGAAGGGCAGCACTTACTTCCCAATTTGTAGTATGTGAGCTGACAAATGTCCAGGATTGGCTAGTGCTGCTGTAGGTGGACCAGACAAGAACTAATTTTCTTTCGACCCAGGAATCGTTCAGTACATGGAAGGCTGGCAGCAGCATCATCAGGATTTGACCTTGGGTCCCAGCAATAGGTTGAAACCCTTTTGGCCAGCTGCTCCACTCAGGAGCCCCTAGTTTCCGTACCTTTAAATGAAGACATATGGATTACATGTCCTTATGAGACCCTAATCAACCCATATGGTCAGAAATCCCTCACCGCTGTGTGTGCATGTGTTCTCCAGCAAGGGAAGGTTTAATACATGATAAGAAGTCAAGTTCAGCGCTTGTATAATATATAATGCATAAAATGCCTCCTTCTTGTTCCCATGTTGATGAACTTGGTGAAGTATTCGAAATACACATTACACTCCTTTTCTCTGGACAATTTTCATAACTGAATTGGCAATTTTACAGTTTTGGGGCAGTTTCCTCTAGACTGCAGTACAGGCTTCTTCTTACGGTGCATTAAAAATTCAAAGGCGGTAGGAGCTCCAGATTGTGGAAAGAAAACAAACACGAAACAAAAACGGATATAATACAGTACAGTCTGAATGATCAGTCTTCACACTTAAAAGTCAGTGACATCAATGACATCCAAATGAACGGTCCTCATTTGGCACAACGTTTCTCATCTCCACTGCTTCTTTGTCCCTCTTTTCCTCTGAAAAGCACATTTTTATCTCTCTCTCAGTCCGTTGTCTGTAATGAACAGAGGAATTTTGCACTCCACAGCATTTTACTGTAGATAGAAACATACAGTCTCCGTAAAGTTTCCATACAAAAGTTCACTAGAAGGCCCTCAAGAGGTAGGTCAACACTGTGTCCTCCCTTGTACAGTCCCTCTCTAGGTCCAGCATACCTCGAGACCACAGTCCATTTCACAGCGGCTAGGAAAATTCACTGTACACTGTACAAAGAGGAAGGAATCACAACAAAGTAAAACAAAATCAGAAATGTCCAACTTTGAGGGATCAAACGCCTCAGCGCTTGCTTTCACAGGGTTTTCTCTCTCCGCTTGAAGAGAATTGCTTGAAGTTGAGTCTTGTTGAGACTTTAAAACTCTTTATCTTATGCCCCCGTCTCTCGGTTCTCTCTCTCTCTCTCTCTCTCTCTCTCTTTCTTTCTCTATATCATCAATGTGTTTGGCTGGAAGGTCTGTGCGAGCGGATCGTTAATGCTTTCCCAGGGCTTAACTCACTCTGTCCTGCAATTTTTCCTCTTGGCTGAGAAAAGTTGGCAGGCGCACAACCACACACAGTTACGCTCGGACCCGGCTGATGTCGCTGGACTGATGAAATCAGATGATGTGACGATTCCATGAATTTATTGGCACTGGTGGAAATCCCATCGTAAACCATATCTGACAACTGACAAGCATATCACAAAGTAAAGCTCTGCTTACGTAAAACTGTTTTCAGTTTAATTCATGATTATAGAAACTGATGTTGCCCAAAATTAGAATTGTTCGCTTCTTAAAACTGGTATCAGCAGCTGTGTTTACATGCACACAATAGCCAGATTAAGTCCTCAGTTAGTCTAAGAAACTGACCCTGAACCCAATGTTTACAAGAGCTTTAAAAAAGACTAGACCATTTATAGTTCCGTTTACATGCCCACCAGCCGAGTCTGACTTTACAGCATGAACCATGACTCCAGTTATCCATGTAGCCATTTCCTGCCGTTTAAAAATATCTGCATTCCTTTTTCTCCTTCCATTTAAATTTCTAATGATGTCTATTTCTGACAACATGAGCGACAGCTCTTCCTCTCCACAAAAGTGAAGTCATTTTGTACGACTCATGTTTGTTTTTGGTGTCAGAAAGTTGTCACAAGTGAAACTGCAGAAATACCCAGACACTGTGGAGAGATCTAAACATCTACACTAAGATTAGGTTGAATAAGACCAATTAAACTAACTGAACAATTAACCTGTGCTGTTAACATGACCATATCTTACTTAGACTAGCGGTCTTTGGACAGGATTAGTTTAGGGTGGGTTAATGTAATTATCCCATTTACATCAGGGATTTTAGTCTCATCTGAATCCACCTTGTCATTAATTGTTAGGGACTGCAAATGCTTGTGCCGGTAAAGATTCCAGTGCCTTTAATATACTATAAAACAAACCATGGAAATAACCAATTTTTAAAGTTATGTTAATGGAACATCAGTGAATATTTTACCTTGTCCTATGGAAAAGGCATTTTCATGTTCACTTACGCTGTCCGTGGCAAAAATCACTAGGTTTATACAGAGATATTGGCTGTAAATTCCCAAACTAATGATATTGCTAACGACATTCCCTTAAGACTGCTAGTATGATGGTTAGGGTAAACATTTTTTTTTCCTATTTGTGAACAGCTAAATGTATTGCGTATGGAACTGTTACGGTATGGTGGCAATGCACAAATCAATTAGCCACTCTTGTATACTGTGATTTCTCATCCCATGTGAAACAGTCATCAATCATTACAGACATCCTATGATAAATTTACATTATCCCACCCCTCCATGTAAACTAAGCCCATCTTAGAGCTACACTATGTACGTTTTAGGGATTTGGAGACCTCTCTGGTGGAAATGTGTAACTGCATGCAGCATGCAGAAGAACGCTTTGTAATATCGGTCATGCTTCAGACCCCTTCCCAGAGTAGATGAATCTGATTGCGAGCGCCAAAACTTGGTGAAAGGAAGTGTCTTCTGAGGAAGTAATTCAATTATATGCTATTGTCATCATATTGTCATCAGTATAATGTTGCTTTTGTATTTGAGACCTAAACCTTGAGCCGGACTTTCTTTTTAGGCTGTGGGTGTGATCATAATATGTGGTTGGAAAAACAAAATTCAACCTGACTGCTCTGACTTTTAAATTGTTATTTCAGGCTTTACAGGGCGACTCACAACATTTTTAGATTTTTTTCCTGATGCGGTGAGGCTAATTCTTTCAATTTCAATAAAACAATCTTATTCAGACTAACAGTGAACCATTGGTGTGCATGTAAACATAGTTAGTGACAAAACTTTCATATCACTTAGGTCATGATCCCTTTTGGGACTAGGCTATTTTATATTTCAGCATGAATTTATGAATACAGTCTTATATCTGGCTTTACATTGTCGGTCAGGAGTGGTGGGGCTACTTGAATGAGTTATGGGTCCATTCTGTAGATGGGACAAGGCACACCGTCCCCATGCTGCAGAGGGAATTGATGCCTTCGGACTGTTTTATTACATCCAGTGGCTCGGAAATCCCCTGTGAATGAGAACACGCCAGCACATTCTGTAATCGACGAGAGAGAGTGTGTGTATGTGTGTGTGTTTGTGAGCGAGGGAGAGACATTACTTTCATCAGCCAGCACAGTGTCTGCCACTGGGAATAGATATGGACATCATTAACTGGGCTGCATCCGCATATGCTGCAGTTTGTTAGCCGCCTCCCTCCTGCTGAAGGATCTGCAGTGAGCGGTCGGCCACACAGTCGGTCACTAGCCAGACAGACAGCCAGAGAGCCAGACAGTGTGAGGACAAACTATGGGAGGCAGCATATATGTGTTGGGCCACGTTTATGTTCCAAACTTTATTGCTCAAATCCAATCTTTCGGCCTTGATGCTTCACATGCTTGTAAATGACCCATATCTGTCATCAGTCAATAATGAAATCAATACCATCACATGCATGATCCACATGTGACGCTGGACAATGACGACAGTGATATGTTTATTTGTGTAATTTACAAAAAGAAAAACGTGAATTCAGATTTAGATTCTCAGTACATTGTCACATATTGGATGTCCAGTCTAGGACCACGTGAGAAAGTCTTTGTTTAGCCAGCTGAAATCTAATTTTTCAGAGTTTCAGGTTTGAGCAGGAAAGACTTCCTGTGGTCTGAATGTCAACTGGAATTTGACGTTTTACAATTGGATTCAAGCCACACATGTATGTGCTTTCAAATCCAGATTTCTAGAGATGTGACTCGGTTTGACAATTCAGATAGGATTTATGATTTTTATCATCAGCTTATGCACCTTACTGCACCATTACTAATGGCGATATGTGATCATATGCGACTGCAGTCCAGCCATACAAATCAGATATGGACACGCGCAGTGTGAACACTAATATTATTCATGAAACAAATCAAACCATTTGTCCTGCTGTGTGAACAAAACTAGAGCAGCTCATCTCCCATCTGTGTCCCATTTAGGCAAAAAATGTGATTCGTAGCAACCCTGCAATGAGAATATAGCCGTAGTTATTTCTCTGCACTGCAACAACATGAGCTGTAAGGTCAAAAGCTGTGGGGCGTTTCCAGTGACTGATCACAGCATGATACAGAGAGCAAGAGGAGATCAAAAACAGAGGTTGCAGACGAGGGAGAGACAGAAAGAGAGAGAGAGAGCAAGACAGAGAGAGATGTTATTGGCCAGATCCTGCTGGCTCTGCAAGAGGTCTGAGGCATTGCCTCCTTCACATTTTCTTCTTTATGACTTTCTTCTTTTTCACAGCACCCTTTTTCTTTCGCTTGCCCTCTCCTTCACTGGCCTGATGGGGCCCGCTCAACACCTCCCTTGCCCAGCAGGTGGCTGAACTCTGCCAGGTCCATGAGGCCACGGGAGCCATGCAGGACGGAGCGGGTGAGGTGTGGCCCGGCTGGGCCGTAGTGGTGACCAGAGGGCGGTGCGGCATGGCTGAAAATGTAACCCTCGTGGGTCCAGCGCAGGGTCTCTCCACCGTACTCCATCTGTGTGCTGGGTGCCGATACCACCCTCCTGCGGTCGGGCGAATCCTGTGGGGTTACTGGGTAATCGTAGTCACCTGCCGACTTGCGCAGCAGAGTCCCTGGACGACCAGCTTGCTCGCGGTACCTGGAAAGGGACACGTAGCGCTGGCGGTCCACGGTGTCCTCGTGGCGTCTGTCACCGGCACCCTGGAGTAGTTTGGAGCTGAGGAAAATGGCAGAGGGTGGTGGGGGTGGGCACTGGGTGCCCACCGAGTTCAGATAGGTCTGGCTCTGGTCCCAGCCTGAGCCTGAGTCGGACAGGCGGAGGAGACCCGGAGGTGGACGCTTCTGCTGCAATGGCGTCTGCTCGGGTGTAGGCAGCAGCCCTGGGTCGAGGTCGCCTGCCTTCACCCAGCCGTTTGGCATGACAAAGAGTGTCTCGCCTTGCGGCCGCGACCTCTCCGCCACACTGTGCCTCGACACGCTCATCACCGAGCCACTCCCGCTCGGTCCCAGCATGCTCCGCTCCTTCTCGCTCTTCCGCTGGTTGCCACCAGAGGAGGAGGAGGACGTGTTGCTGCGGGAACGGTGCCGATGCTTCTGGCCCATGATCCAGCACACAGCCAGGCCTGAGAGCGCCGCCCCAGTGGAGAAGGCTGAAACAGCAGCCACAACCAGCAGGTTTAGGGTCACCAGACTCTCTGGCTCATCCATGAAGCTCTCGTGCAGCAGACCTGTAGAGAGACAGATGCATTAAAGCAACAGATAAGTGGAAAATGTAATTTACAGTTTTCCCAGAGATGATATAAAGGAGGATACAGGTCAGTGGTTGGAAAATGAATGAGAAAGCTTGTAACACTCAATATGGTGTTTGTTTACAGAGAAGGTCCTGCCCTTCAATAAAAAGGGGCAACCAACTTGCTGGTTGAGCTGCAAACAATAAAACCTCCCCCTTGTTGATATATGTGCACATGCAGTAGCCAGAACAAGCTGAAATAACTTGGTTTGTGCATTATTTGAGCCAAACACTACACACTATATATGCATTTTTGTTTAATTTTACCAATAATTTCAAATATGTTTTGAAATGTTAATGAAGCTTGTAGTTTGGGGTTTATATATCACTCCCCATTCAAAAGAGACAAGAGTCTGGTCTTGTGTGACTGGAAATAACTGCCCGGGGGAATGGCCAAGATGGCCATTGAGTGGACAGACTTTCCTATAAGAACTTTGTTTTTCACCAAATATGGTCAATTTAACGTCCAAAGTTTTCTTCTTTGATTTTCACTGAAGTTACTAGGCTAATGTAGCTAAGAAGTAATAAAAACATACACCCTACCAAGTAGCATATTGCTGCTGTCGGAACAAAATCCATTTTTCAGTTTTTGAAAATGCTGGTTGTCCTATACATTGTGTGTAAATTTTATGATGTATGGAACAAAAGAAACGGCCCACAACTACTTGGAAAAACGTCTGGTTCCATTGACTTACATTAAAAGTAAAGTATGTTTTTTCCTTCTCCTGTAAAGTTATCATTTTGGAGATACAAGGTTTTGTTCTGACAGCATGATATGCAAAATACATACCTAAATCAACAGACACTTGCTTCATGTCATTAAGTAATCTCAAATACACATGCTTATGTGTTTATTGACACCATATGACATTCTGATATCTATAAACATAGACAGAACTATGCCACCTTGAAAACTGAATTTACTTTTTTCTTCCATTTTTATAGATCCTCGAACTTCTCAAGCTGTTTACAAACAAAGCATGCATTCACCATGCACTATTTAATGAACTGTATTGACACGTTACATACCCATAACACTGGACAAAGCAATTCCAACCACACCGAATATATTCCAAGTTCATAATAAAGGAAATTAGAGAGAGGTGACCACAGGCGACCACATACTTTATGAGGTCGAGGTCTACGAGCACACCAGCATTATTGGAACTTCAGCAAATATTGACTTAATTAAGCTTTTGAGAATTACCAATTAAAAACAAATCTACCATGAGGACAATTGACTTAACACTCCAACTGCTTTATTAAGACAGCAAGCAACGCAAAATTGATCCATTGAGCGGTTTTCTATTCAGATGATCAGTCCCTGCAAAACCATGTAGGCACATGTCACTGCGCTCATAAAAAGAAATGAACACAATAGCAGAGGCACGCTTCACAGCTGGTAAGCCTTGCCAACCTGCAGTTTGGAGCCTTGCCAATAGAACTGCTAGAAAAGAAAATCAAAGCTTCTCATACTGGGACACATCATCCTCTACAGGAAAGAGACTAGAAACCTTGTCACACCCTGTCAATCTAAAATAGAAGTTTGCAGCTTGTAAAAAGCTCACAAAGCAAAGGGGAACATATAAATAAATACAGAGCACAACAAATAAGAAACAAAAATGGGTAGAGAAGACGTTGATCAGAATCACTCTCAATGATCAAGCAGTCAACACTGGAGCATTTTGAGTGCTTTTGTGGTCAAGCACTCAGACATATAGAAATATATTCAATACTACACTATACTCAAATCTATACATATACTTTCACACATGTACTTTTCAATGTAACCTTGGGTGAGAGCAAGGTGCTATACAAATGAAACAAAAAATAAAAAATAAAATGAAAAAATAAATAAACTTAACTACTTTAACCTAAATACCTGGGCTTCTTTTTCTTTGTTACATGCCAAATTAGCTTAACAAAAAACAAACAGTAGCACACATAGACAGCAGTTAACTTTTGTTTGTCAAGTACTATAGCTAAATACTAGCTACTCAGAAGTAGAAAGCATATCGCTGCTGTAGTTTTGGTTGTTTTTCAGTTTTTGACATAATCTGAAAATGCCAGTAACCTTTACATTGTGTGTAAATTTCATGATGAATGTACCAACAGAAATGGCCCAGAACATCTGGTTCCATTGACTTACAGTAAAACCAAAGTATGTTCTTTTTCTTCTCCTGTAAAGTTATTATTTTGGAGATACAAGGTTTTGTTCTGACAGCAGTGATATATTCCTGCTCTGTAGGGCTGTCAAATGGAATTTAAAAAGAATTTAAATTTGATATTTTTTCGCAGAAAAAAATAAGTAAAGAGATGTATAACTGGAGGGAAGTCAATGTTATATCTCCTAAATCCACCAGGGGGCACTCAGCATAAATGATCAAGAGACCCCAAAAGCAGACCAGTGATTTTTACCTTCACAGCTCACGAGATGGTTGTCAAAAACGTAGAGAGACCTATTCTGATGTATATTTCAGAAAGATTTTTCCATAAAATCCCCACACCAGTGATCATTATAAGCTAAAGAGAGTGGCTGTGCTGTAGTGGAAGTAGAAGTATGTGACTGGTATGGGTGGCTGAAGAAGTTGTGTAGCAGTTTAGCGACGCAGACTGTCTCATGTGTCAGTCAAACAGCCTCTTCCTGTCAAAGTAGGCCAGGCTGAGTGATGGAATCTCATAGACGCTGACCATAGGTACAGCAGAAATACTTTCGTACCCTCTATTCTAATTCTATTCTGACCCTGAGATTCAAGTAACACAAAGGGATCATAGTTATTTCTGTTTGGTCAGTCAACACAACTTCAAATTGCTAATTTTGAGTAGTATTTGACTAGCAGACTAGGTGGTTACAGTGTGAGTACTCAGTAAGTAGATAACTAGTGCCCATTCCTAGTCCAAAATAGTGCTTAGTCATTCTGAGTTTTTGCCATTTCCATAATTTATAGTTGGTACTGAACTGTGGCAGTCCGCCCACACAAACTGCACAACCCAATGATCCATTACTGTAGTAATACACAGAAGTGTAATACTGTGGATTTGAAAGTGTGGGTGTATATAAATATGTTCCTAATCTATACCCTTGCAGAAGCTGTATCAATTCCCCCCTTCCCTCTCTCTCTTCCTCGCTCTCTCTCTCTCTCTTTCTCTCTCTCTCTCTCTCTGCTGATGGCATTTCCTGTAATCTCTCCTCTCTGCTGTCCCTGTGGGATGTCCTTGATTTTCACCACCATTTTCTCAATCCCTCTATCTCTCCTCTCCTCTCCTCTCCTCTCCTCTCCTCTCCTCTCCTCTCTTCACTCTGTCGTTCCTCTCCTATGTGTGTGTGTGTGTGTGGGCTGTGGGGCCTCAGGAATGAGAAGCTATATGCTACGGCTGAGTCTCTATTCAGAATTCCATTATCAACCAGCCTGCCTGGAGATGGCTTAACTTCTGCCCTGCTGCAGCATGCACCTGATATTGATTCAGAAAAAAAAAAAACATATTAACAACAAGTCCTGAAGAAATGATATTTTGTGAGGAATACATGAAATACAGTCTAGATATGAGGAAAGAAATGAGTGAGCAGTTACCGCAGTACACAAACACACATACCAATTAGAGTGTGAATCGCTGCAGGCCCCACAATAGGACATCACGATATGATTCTACTGAGATATGCGAAGTACTGCAATATGACATATTATAAACTGCCATTTACAACTTTTCACCACAAATTATTCCTCCGCAAGACAACAAGCAAAACAGAGCAGTGAAATAGACAAATCAACATTCAAAACAGGCCAAATCTTTACATATTAAAGGGGAACTCCACTGATTATTTTTTTACATTTCTGCATAATTAAATGGTTAAAATGCCATTTAGGGAGCTTTGATGTGAAATGCTCCATTCTAGAGAAACTTAACAAGTCAGAATTGTTCACAGTGGTGGTGATAGGAACCAGATGTCTGAAAGTTCCTTTACAGAATTTTTTTTTTTCACTTGAAATGGTTATGAATACACTGCCTGATATATCTGAGACATTCAATTACAATAGTTTAAAGTTTTGGCCTGAAACATATTTTTAAAGCCGTTCATAAACGTTTATTTACCTACATGCTTATTTTTTCAGATTTACTAACATTACATATAAACACTTCACTGTTAGTTTTGGATAGTTAGATAAATGACTATATTTGAGTTCTAGACACATTTTCTCTCTTGGCCCCTTTCTCTCTCTCTCTCTCTCTCTCTCTCTCTCTCTCACTCACTCTCTCTCTCATAACGTTAAAGTCTATATCAGCGTTTGAAGTAGCTCTGGAGTTTAGGGACTGGGTGCCCACAGGAAAAGAAAAATCAAAAAAGAGAGCTCCTTGATATCTCTGTACTTTCTGTAGAGATCAGATAGAAAGACAAAGGAGACTTAAGCTTAAGTTTCTCCTACTGCTCAGATGTTTCTCTTGATCAAAAGAGCCCAGCTAGCTCATGCGTGTCTAGAGTTTTAGTTGAGATCTCAATGATGCACACTGAGCTCAGATTTGACAAGATAATAATGCTCAGGTTTATCTTCAACTGTTTATTTGTGCACTCTTAAAATATGGTTCTTCAAGGCTTCTTTAGTAAAGACAATAGTTCTATATAGAGCCATGAACACTCACTGAACCATTTGCATGCTTAAATAGTTCTTTGCATGGTGAAATTGATGTTCAGATTGATGCAGAATGTGTTTTATATAGTTCTATATAGAATATCTTTGAAAATAGTTCTATGTAGCACCAGAAAGGGCTCCTCTATTGTAACTTGTAACAATAGAAGATCCGTTTTTGGTGCTATACAGAACCATTTCCAAAAAGAAGAACCATCTTTTCTAAGAGTCTACTGAAGTTTTTGCTATTTCTCCAAAAGAAATTTTAGGAGAATCACAATTACGTCTCTTGAGCTGTCAAAGAGCAACAATT